GTATAACAAAATAGATTTTGCTAATTTTCTCAACCTGTGATTGGCCAAATTTTCTGGTTTCTACGTTTAAAGGCCTATATATATATATTTATATACTAGTTATAAACCTGTACAATAATGCACAAAAATAAACTTATAAAATTTTTAAATATTATTTTAAAATAAAATATATATATAGTAAAACTTTTATAATTATTAAGCTATAAACCTGTACAATGTTGAAAAAGATTTAATATAATATAAAATAAAAATTTAAATCTAAAGCAAATTAATTTAAATAATTTTATCTCTAATATAGATTATAATTTGGTTTTGCTTAATTTTAATTTAATTTATTAAAACTAAAAATTTATTGTTTCTTAAATATTTTAGAATTTAGTAATTAGAATTAAATAAACTTTTTTTATTGGATGTAACTCACTGAGAGCTTTTATTTAAAAAAAAATTCATCCAGATTGGACTACTGGTTGTCAAGATAATTACAAAAAACTACTTTTTGTATATTTTTGTCCCAAAGTAGGTTACATTAAATCTGAAGTAAGTTCAATTATAGTTTCTTTTAAGTTTATATGAGAAATTATTAAGTAAAGTTATCTTCAAGTTCTAAGTAAAGTTGTAGAGAAGATAATTCTGAGTCAAATGGTGGTTAGATTATCAAAATCGCGCCAGTAATTATTGAAATATGTGGGATTAATACTTTGTGTAATAGTGACTTTGTTAATCCTTATATTCACGCCTTTAACCCAAGATATCTCAAGAACTACTGGGCCGATTTTGATAATCTAACTACCATTTGACTCAGAATTATCTCCTCTACAACTTTATTTAAAGTTTGAAGATATTTTTACTTAATAACTTCTTATATAAATTTAAAGAATTTATTGACAAATTAGAATAACAGATTTAATATTATACAATTTAAGTGAATTATTTATATTAGTAATCTAAACGTTATTGTTACATATACATTTTTTTAGTATATAGTTATAGATACATATATAGTATAGAATAGTAAAAAACATCTAATCTATATATAGATGCCAATTTTTGGTTCTTATATAATCAATTCTGATTGGCTAATTTTTGTGTAATTGATTTTGATTGGTTAAAAATATATATATATATATATATATATATTTTTTTTAATTCTTTGACAATCTTGTCAGTGCTTAAATACAAATTATATTACTATTAGACTAAAAACAATGTTTAAAAATTCTAATAATATCTAATTAAAAATTGCAAGCCTGGCATCACCTAGCTACATCATATGCACCCAGATGCGACTTGTCGCACCAACCCACATGTGGGTTGGAAAACCTTGTCAGCTCTATCAAGAACTAAAATTTTCTTTTTTTTTATATTAAGCGCCAATTTTTTAAACTTATATAAACTTTATCTTTTATAACTTTTTTAAAACAAAAAATAAAAAAATCTTCTAACAAAAATATAGTTTAGCTAAAAATCTATCAATTTGTCAAAGGGTTTTTTGATTTAATTTTTTTTTAAAAAAGTTATAACAATTTAAAGTTTTACTAATAAAGAGTAGATGTCTTTTACTATTCAATACTATACTATATATATATTTGAAGTTAAGCAAAAACTTAATCATGTCAAGTACTAATTATACAAAACCAAAAACAGATATTTTTTTAAAAAAGTAAAACCAACTAATAATTGATTTAAGTAAAAATTGGCTTTTTATAAAAATACAAGTATAAGTAAACTAGATTAATTTTAAAAAAATAGTAATTTGAAAAAATCTCACTATTAAATATATTCAAAGATAATTTTAAATTAAAATTAAAGTTTATAACTAATAGTTAATCTAATTTTATATAGTTTACTCTATATTAAATATAGCAATATACAATACATATTTAGTATTACAGATACTCAGAGTGTTAAATATTTATTATATAAAAAAAAAAAACTTTTCTTGTTAATATTTGAACCAAACTTCTTACTAAAGAAAAAATAAAAATCAGTTGAAGAGTTAAGTAGATTATAATAATAGTTTGTAGTAAAAAAAATCAACTTGGTCTTGGGACTCCTTACTATGTTTAGCATACAAGCCAAAAGCCTGGCAAGAGAAAAATACAGGTAGCACTCTAAGTATACTAGTAAAAATTTTGTAAACAAAAGTTCTGTCAATGAAGTTTTCTAGTTTATAGTTTGAAGAGGTTTTTAGTTATAGTTTTTAGAGAAACAAAAGTTAACTGAGATCAAGAGACTCTGCTTTATATTTAATATACAAACCAAAAGCAAAGATATAAAAGAAGAAAAGGCAGGCAGCACTTTTTACTATATACAAATTTTAGTGAAACAAAAGTTCTGTTAACAAAGTAACAAAGACTTTTTTCAGAACTCAAAGATACAACAGACTTTTTTGAAAGCTGCATTCTTTTGATATATACAAGTGGTATTTTTTATTCTTTCTCTTACTTTTTGGTTAATCTTCATTATATATTTCTTTTTATATTTGGTTTCTTTTTTTTTCTTTTTGTATTTGTCTTTTGTTTTGGTTCTTTATTATAGATAAATTATAAGTTAGTCTTTTTACCAAGATCTAAGTAGAAAAAATTTAAAAGAAAGAGGTAATCATGATGGGCTAGTAGATTCTAATCAGTGATTTGTGGATTTGAAATTTGAAATAAATCTAAAAAAAGCAAGGAGACTGCTTTTGCTTTTGGCAGATCACATATAGGTCTAATTGAAAACTGGGTAAATCACACTTTAGTATAAGGCAGTATTGGCTATTAACTTAGATAATCAATTATAATTTTGCTTATACAAATTGCTTTTTCTAATATCTTAAGTAATAAAGTTGTAGTATAACTGCTTCAAAAAAAAAAAAAATTTATTATATGATTATTAAAAATCATTTTTTATATGACTAATTTAACTGTTGTTATAATTACTATATAGAGTTGGTCAATAGAACCAAGCAAATATTTTTTAATAAGTTTTTTAAATATTTTAAACAAGAATAATTTAACAAAAACTTAATTGAATTCAATAGTTTTTTTTTAAAATTAATTTTACAAATTTATAAAAAAAAAATTTTATTAAATTTGGTTAAGTTTTTATTAAGTTATTCTTGTTTAAAGTTATAAAAAATTTTTATTATAAAAAATTTGCTTGATTTCTATTAGATTACCCTATATATTCAATACCAGTAAAATAAAATTACAATTAATAATATTTTTAATAAATTTTAGCAAATTTTAATAAATTTTAAATCTGCTAAATTATTACTTTTTACTTTATATAAAACTATACAACTTTATGCAGTATATAAAAATTTTGTACTAGATTATACAGATCTTATTAATAAATTTAAAAGTTTTTTAAAACTTCTAGTAATAATTTTTCAATAACTACTTGATCAAAATCAAAAAATTTTTTTATTTAATTCAATGTTTTGTAGAATTAAAATAAAGAAAAATTTAATCAAATTGAATGGCTGATTGTCTATTAAAAAAAAAAATTTGACTATAGCTTTTTTTTATAAGCATCTAAACTTTGAATAAAGATTACTCTAGTGTTATAAATCAGAGCAAAAAATATAATCAATTAGTTAGTTGAAAATTTTTTAAAAATTGATTACAAATCGATTATTGCTAACTAATCAATTAATTAACTAATTAGTTGTTTAGCTGACCTAATTTATGAATATAAATCTAATAAAAATTTTACATATTAAAAAGCCAATTAATACAAAAGCAACTATATACTGATTAATTGATTAAAAGTTTATCTGATTAAATTTGATCAAAATATTTTTATTTTAATTCTATGTTCATGGAATTAAAATAAAAAAATTGATCAAGTTTAAAAAAGAAGCTGTGGCCAAATTTTTTTTTTAACTTTTAATGAATATTATGATTTCTCAATAACCAATGAACCAAGTTCAATGAGCTTCTTTTTATTTTAATTCTATAGGTAGCTATTGAGAAATCATCGTTAGAAATTTTAGGATCTGCACCACAGTATTTGCATAACATAACCTGGCTATGTATAACTAGGTTTTCATAACATGAAACTTTTCGGCCAAAATCAATTAATTAATTTTGCATATCCTAATTGGCGAAGCCATTTTTGGCTATTAATATAAAAATTCTTTTAAGGATTTGTAGGTTTGCATTCAATTGAAAAAAAAAACTATTATTGTTATTAAATTTGTAAGGTTATTTGCGACATATAATATTACGTATAACAAACGCCATTTTATGCACAGATTATGCTCTTTGCATATTTGAACAATTGTGATTTAATCTTATTATGAAAAATATGCGATCGCATGTGCTATGAAATAAGTCAGGTTTAAGCGCATATGTATCGGTGCTCTCTACCCATATGTATTTTAGAATGTCCAGGGTACTGCGGTGCATAATTCTGCTCCCGCTAAAAACAATTTTTTATATTGTTCCCGTAAAAGACACATGATTAAAATCACTTTCTAAATCAAATTACAATGTAAAAAGTATTTTTAGCGTGAGCAGAATTATGCACCGCAGTATCCTGATGTATTTCTGTTATACATGAAATTTTGTCTTAATTTTTTTTACTTGCACTTAAAATTAATTTTCTATGTTTATCATATTCATAATAAAATCTTTTAATATTCGTAATTATAACCACGTTAATAATATTAAACTACATATGATATTTTTTCTATTTTAAAGAAGACAGTATATAAAATTGTAACCTAATAAAATTTTTATTTTCTTGATTAGAGGCAACAATTTTACCATTTTATTTTATTACACCCATTTGATATCCGAAAAATTCGAAAATTGTACTTTTTTTTTTTTTTTTTTTTTTGGAAAAGGATTTGTATAAAACTAGTTACGTAAAAAATAAAATTAAATAATAAGCTCGCCACCCAAGCGCAAGTCTAAAATAGAAGTTGCTAAACGTACAATTTATTCTACATTATAAACATAAGAAAAAGATATAAAGTTAAAAAGTATAGTTTGTTTAATTGATCCGTTATCCTAATCCACGTATTGGAACTGGAAAAATTGATCAATCTATTAAAAATCGAAAATTATATCTAAGTAAGAATGTTCTTGGTATCTTCGACATCAATTGCTGTAAACTGTTATGATTGATACCTTGGAGATCCAATCTACCATATCCTGCTTCGAAGATGCCTGCAAAATATACGCATTGTTGTTGGTGTATATAGCGAATACATGTTGTCGCTAATGAAGAAAAATATTCAATGCATAATAAAAACAATCGTTAAAATGAGAAAAAAAATTTTTTTTAAACTTATATAACTGTTAAAAATTTTTTACCTGAAGCATATCTTCCAAATCTCTTTTATAATCAACTCTGACCGAAGCCAAGTTAATAACACCTTGTTCTTCAGTTTCTTTCTGTGATTCATAGATGAATAAATATGGTCTAGATATACATCGTAAAATAATTTCATGAGTAAATACGTATAATGCATCTATTCATAAGGACAACTTGAGTCAATTGGTTAAATGAACATACCTTCTCAAGACATACCACTTCTTAACCCAATGGTCATCATTAGCATCTTCAGGAGTAAATAGATACCCCTTTTTAGTTATCGTATCACTATGATAGCGGAAATATTATTAGAATCGACAATCATAATAATAAAATAAGATTACTAAAAAATTACTTACGTTTTTGCTACCATTCGAACTTGTGCAACTAATTTTGTTGGTTTCTTTCCTCTTGACAATTCCATGTCATGATAGAGTCCTGAGAGTGGTGGCTCTTGGTTTATAACAATCTGTTACATAACAAAAGTTAGTTTATTTATAAATAAATTAGTTTGATATGTGTTAAAATAAATTTACCTCTTTCATTGTTCCCCATTTTTTCCTCCAAAGTGTTAAAACCAATTTATATAAATCCTCGGGACTTTGAAGTTGCTCATATTTTTTATCTCCTTTTAATGCAATAATTTGTTTCATACAATCAACTGCTTCCCTTCTACGTAAAAGTTCACTAATTTTTTTATAGTCTTTGACTAATGATACCCCACGGGGTTTCCATTCTCCTAAAAGTTCTTCCCCACGAACATATTTGTTTGCGGTATTCAGCCGCCAAAGTTCGGAAATTTTTCGAGTCATCGGAGGTTTAAGTGTAATGGAAAATAGCCCGCTAGATTTCCATAACACTTTGGATTGATTTAATAATTGTATTAATTTTGATGGCGGTCGAGCCTCACGACCTTGGACTTGTACTGCAATATCCATGGAGAAAGTTATCGGCTCTACACATTTTTCGGCTTCTACATACCATGTGAGTCCTAGTAAAACTCTACTACTAGAATGAGTTGTTCTGTTCAAGAAAATGGAATCATGAAGTGTACTATCCCAAGATGCTTGAGCTATAATTACACTAGTTCCATCTCGTTTAAATTGAACATTTTGCATTGGCAGTAAACTCATCTGTATATCATTCTGAACTGGTGACTCAGATAATCGTCCTTTCCCGTCAAGTAATCGTACCCGACCGATTTCCATTTTTGTTACTCGAGTCCATGGGAATTGTCGACCAGAATTGTGTGTTAATGTTAGAACAATACGTCGTTGAAGACCTTGTCGTAAGAAAAATGCTCCTGGATCAAGGGAATTTTGCGAAAGGACTTGAACTGGTACATACTCTCCTGTTGGAGCAAGTTCGCAGACTTGAACCCATGCAACAACATCATGTTTTTCTTCTGCCACCAGTTCTTCTTCCGAACGTCTCTCTCTAGGTGCTGAAGATTCAGATGGGGCACCTTCATTGTTCTTTCTATATGTTGGACATTCCTTAGCATTATCCCACTTTTCTATATCTTCTAGTACATGGCGTTTGGCGCGACCAAATACTTCAAAAGTGAGCACACCATTAGTAATTACTTCCATCAAAGCGGGTGTCACAACCATATTCAAAGTTTCTTGGTAGTCATAAGTAATTTTTGAATTTCCAAAACCAGAAACAGTTTTTGTGTTATAAACTTTTTCACCAGGTGAAAGAGGTGCAACTTCTCCGAAAGAAGATAATTTATACTGTACGTGAACTTGGTCATATCGTGAATCCGAAATACCACAAATTTCTATAACATTAATTTTAAATACTACCAATTTATTAGTCGACAATTGTTGAGATTCCTCCATTGTTGATATATCTTTTGAAGTATCTTTTGAAGTATCTTTTGATGATACATCACACTCTGTAAGAAATTCAATACGAATACGACAATAACCAATTTGGTCACCAGAGTATCGACAAAAAATTGGTGCATCACATTCATATTCTGTTTTTAAAAGTAAGCATGCCAAACCAACAGCACAACTACCTATAAAAGTATATTGTGGAGAGGGATTTTCGTAAAAAGGATCTTCCCAATTAAAATGTTTACTATACTGTGGACGGTCAATGAAATTATATAAATTGCGCATCTTTTGTAGACGATTCTTAAGTTTATCGAGTGACCATATATATACAACATCATTTTTAGTGTCTATAACTCTAACACCAACGCACGGTTTTTTAGAAAAATATAATGAAGTGTCTTCATTACTATGATACTGATTTAAGGCTGAAGTGCTCTCGCATGCTGATATAGGATTAGTATATGGTTCATCTTCAATGATAGTAAATTGATAAAGTACTTTTTTACCAAGTTCTTTACTAATAACATTTGCTTCTTTTAATATAACTGCATTGCTGAGTATGATCTCTGCCATTTGAACAAATCTTTGACGTCTCCATTTTGCAAGCGCCATCTTAATAAGGCGTAGTTGTTCTTCTGTATAAGACGGAGTATCAGGTGGGTAAGTATATTCATGAGAAGTATCAGACAAACGTTGTTTCATCTTTTGATGTTCTTGAGCTTGAACTTCTAATATTCTTGTCATTTCTTCCTGAACCATTTTGAGTTTTTCCTCCATCTGCTTTTTCTCGGCTCTTAATTCATCTGCTTCAAGGTTTGATGTTTCCATTTGTTTAATTTTATCTTCATATTCTATTTTTTGTAAGTCGAATTCCCGTTGCATATCTTTAAGTTTAAATTCCAACTCGATTGATGGTGTATCAGGAACATCAGTTTCAAAAGCAGAAATGGATGCAGTTTTATCTGATGAATTATCATCAAAATCGCCACTTCGACTATCAGGACGAATCTTTCTAGCACTTGCGATTTTTTTTAAATCATCCATAAGTCTCTGAAGGTCTTCATCTGGTAAAGAGCTAAGATTCGCATCAGGTCCGGCATTTAAATAATTAAGTGCCATCTCTCTTCTTGCATAATTCCAATCAATAACAGCTTCTGAAACGAGAGAAGCCGTTGATGTGGGAGAGTCTGGTCTAATTGGTTCATCCACGTTAGAAGGTGGCATAATGTTCGGATTGATTTGCAATGAAGGTTTATGTTTTTCACGTTCACGTCTAACTTCTTCGGGATTATTAAACCTGAATACATGAAAATCTCCAAGGATAACACGAAATCCCGATCTCAATTTCTTTGGCTTAACTATTCGCTGGCCATTAACCATAGTCGTGCTTTCTTGACATGGATGCAGTGTTACTACTCCCCTCTCATTTTCAAAATGACAATGATTGTCCGAAATCTTTTCACCACTTAGACGTATGTCAGACTGAATATCTGAATCAAGGCGGCCCACTATTGTTTTTCCGGGTTTAATTTGGTAAACCAAACATTCTGACATAAGAGGATCTTCATTGAGATTGACAAGATGTGGAACCTTTTTAGGAGGATGTACACCAACGGAACCTTTTTCGACCAGGATACCAAGTTCTTCCAATGTTTTTTCTCGTTCCTGTTGAAGTTCTTCCGTACGCCGTAACTTTTCTTGGTAGGTTTCGGTTGCTTCTTTCAATAATTTATCTGAAGCTTGAATTTGATCGATCAATTCTTCCTTTGATTTCCTAACAACATTACCCTCAGAATCTTCAAATGTGATAACTTGTTGACTATCGGAAGCATTTTCACTATCATAAGCAACAACTTCGCCCGCTTCGACACCCAATTTCTTTCGTAGCAACTGTAATTCTTCCTTAAGTTCACGAATAAGTTTCGCATTAGGATCTTCGTTAACAACAGCTTTGTTTTTGATACGCTTGGCAGCATCAGCATAACGAAGAGTACTGAGTGTCTCATCATAGTCTGCTGGAGATATAGCAGCGATCATAGCTGTCTTGGAATTACCTCCCAAACTATCTTTAAGTAACCACGTCAAGACCTATAATTAAATTTTTTTGTTAATTTCGTTAAACATATACTTATACTAGTTATTTAAATAAGTATAACTATCTTACAGAATCTCTATACGGAACAAACGCATCCCCTTTTTTAGCACCCTTTTTACCACCGCCGCTAGACGCGTCAGCCAAAGAAGCAATGACTTTACCCAAAGTGGTTAATGATTTATTAATATTAGCACCTTCTTTTAAACGTGCACCAGTTGCACCTGTAGAATTGGCACGTTCTGAACCGGCTAAATCCACAAGACTTGAAAGATAAAGCAAAATGGTAAATTATAACTTTAAAAAAAGTAAAATTAACAAATAAAATGACAGACACTCCTTAATACCTAATGCGAGAAACTTTTTCTGTGTCCATGTTAGTCATTTCATCGTGACGTTTTTGTGTTAATAATAAGGTAAATACGGCATGCGAACGACTTGAAGTCTCGTTCATATTCGTTGCAGCCACAGTTCTTGCCTAATCATACACTAAATGTAAGTGGACAAAATAATAATAATCAAATAAATTATAAGTAAAATAATTATTATTTCAACAAACCTTATTACCCTCATCCATAAGATTTTCTATATCTTGAAACGAATTGACGATTAACTTGGATAGGTCTTCTACATATGGCCCAAGTGTTGGATGTTCTCGAACTTTAAGATTTCCTTTATTTTTAGGATTCAGTAGATCTCGAACACGTTCGTTGTAAATTTCAATATAAGAAACTTGAACTTGATATTCAACAGTAGTATCCTTAATACGGTCAATTCGATTGAATAACTCGCAACATGTAAGGGGAATGATTCCTTTATCTTCTCCGTATCCCATCTTTACAGTTCAGAGAAAAATAAAATATACATATAATGTTAATATAGAAACCTAAAGGGTATTAATTATTAGAAATAATTTTCTTTATCATACCATAGAATAAGATTTACCAGCACCAGTCTGACCATCTAAATATATAAAAACATGTGACATTATATGGATTATCAAATGATTATTGTTTACGTTTGAGCAAAAGTTTTATCAACATACATACACGCAAAAATACAAGTATTATATCCTTCAAAAGCGTGGTTTAAAAGTTCTTCTCCGAGGTCGTTATATAAATGTGCCTGAGTAGCGTAATTTGAGTCATTTTTATCAAAGGACCAGTATGATTTATCGAAAGTAAAAGCTTTGATATCGTCGTCACCCTTTTTAGCGGCGGCTTTTGCATTACCGGGATCAGAAGAGTCCGTTGGTTTGGTAATTATAGTTTGATTGCCTTCCATCCGTATAAGGCATTTTGCTCCTCGCGCCTTTTCTAAAAGAAATCAAAAACACATAAACTTTTTAGATGCAAACTTTTAATGTTCCATTTACTATCTATTTTACTATATATTTTACTATCTTTTTTTACTATCTATTGTAGAAGAGTACTACTAGAAAATTCTCGATATATTGAACATAATTTTTATTCGCAAGCATTGCCAGATTATTTGAATTCTGATAACGGATTCTTACCTCTGGAATTGAGAGGACGACATCTTACTACTACTTTAATATTTCCTCCACTCATTTTGCCTCAAACTTAAAATTACAATATAGTATTATCTTAAAATAAATGTGCGGGCTAGAAAGCCCAAGAGAAATGAACCAGATGGATTCGTGTCGGTAGAATTTAATAAAAAAAAAGAAATAACCAAAAACCAAAAAAAAACGCTCGAAACTTAGATAACGAGTGTTTTAATAGCACTAGGTAGTATATACAAAAGACCGGTAATAGTATAAACAATTAGCAGTCAAGATTAACAATAATTTATATTAGTGTAAGAATTCGTGATGCCATAAATCACAAGGACCCTTGGCACAAAAAAAGAACTGTCGCAACGACACATTAGGGACTTTTAGCAGTTTGGACACAATTGCACTAAACAAAATTGATAGTTCACAACGTTCCACAATTGCCCAATTTAAATTCAACACATGCAAGTAAATGCGATCAGTGATAACACTTATCATACTTACCATACCTTATCAGTTACCCTCGTATAACGATAGTTACACATATTTTTTAATAGTATATTATGTTTAATTAAATATAATAAAAAAAATAACAATATCAACATTTTTATTTTTATTCAAAGGTTATCTTTTTTCCCTGTGGGGGGACAATCGCTCCTCGGTTTGCGGCTGCATAACTATTTCCGCCACGTCCGCCACGTCCGCCACGCCCGCCGCGACCACCTCTAAAACCACGCCCACCGCTGAAATCACGCCCACCGCTGAAACCACGCCCACCGCTGAAATCACGCCCACCGCTGAAATCACGCCCACCGCTACGACTGTCAAAGCGAGAACCTGCATAATTGTTTTAAATATTTTTAATAAAAGAAAACACAAAGGTAAAAAAAAAAAAAAATCAATTTTACAAGTAACATAAATAGCATACTTCTGCCATTACTTTTGCCGTTTGACTGTCTGTCTCTGTCTGGAGAAAAATCAAGCCGAATAGGACGACCATCAATTTCTGTACCATTCAATTCCATAGCTTGCTGAGAACTGCTAGCGTCTGCGAATTGAACATAGCCAAAGCTTAAAATTTGACAAAAAAAATTAATATTTATAATATAATAATAATATATAATAATAATAATAATAATAATAAAGTCTATTTACCCTCTAAGATTCTCTGTACCGGGAACGGTCGGAAGCCTGATTGAAATAATTCTCCCGTAATGACTGAAAACATCCCGAACTTGTCTTTCTGTAACATTAAAAGACAAATTACCAACAAAGAGGGTATCACTGACTTCGCTCATGCTTCTCTGTGGTCCACTTTTCGGGCTAGCAATATCTAAATGAATAGATCTACCATCAATTTCTTTTCCCTCGAACTTTAATGCATTCTGTGCTGCTTCAGAATTAGCAAATTCTATATATCCAAACCTACAAGGATAGACATCTGAATAAATAATTTTCAAAAAATCATATTTAACAAATGATAAATGTTTACCCTTTCGACATTCCAGTTACTTTATCGTAAACTATGCGTATATCGACTATTTCTCCAGCATCTTTCATCTCATTATGCAGCCAATCAGCATCAACATTGTATGAGAGACGGCCAACAAATACTGTACTACCTGAAGACGTGTCGTCATTAACCTTAGGCTTTTTAACTGGTGTAGAGATAGGTTCATCTATCTTCCTTTTTGATGAATTTTGATCCAAATGATTGGTCTCTTCCTCATCATTATCATCATCTTCAGATTCACTTGTACTTGAGTCACTACTGTTCAAATCTTGCCCATTAGTTTTGCCATTTTCTTCACGTTTCGATTCCTCCTCGCTACTATCGTCTTCAGATTCACTTGCACTTGAGTCACTATTGCCTAAATCTTGCCCATTACTTTTGCCATTTTCTGATTTTGAAGTTTTAATTGGAGTAGAAGTCGATCTTTTTGATGAATTTTTTACTAAGCTTTCATCCTCTGACTCACTTGTATCTGAGTCGCTACTACTTGAATCTTGCTCACCGTTTTTGATTACATTTTGTATTTTCATGACATTTTCTTCGTCACTATCATCTTCACTGTCACTCTCATCTTCACCTTCATTTTCATCGTCCGTGGATGAATCCGAATCATTCCTTGATGAAGCCTCTTTCTTAATTATGTTGTTTTTGTTATTTGTTTTATCTTTCTTCAAAGTATCAACTCTGGGAATAGGTTTTTGTTCTGAATCTGCACTCTCTTCTCCACTATCAGATTCTTCAGAGTCACTCGAATCTTCGGAGTCACTTTCTTTAGATCTTAACTGTGTAACTTTCTTTTCACTTTCTGCGCTAGAAACTTCTTCAGAACTTGAATTTTCTTCAGAATCACTTTCCGTATTAGAAGTTTCATCGGAACTCGTATCATTTGAATTTTTAATTACTTTTTGAACTTGTGGTAACGACCGTTTTGACGACGGAGTAACTTTATTTTTAACTTCCGGGGACTTAGAATTCTTATCCGAATTCTCAAGGCTATTTTGTCCCTTTTTTTCCTTTTTCACAGAAGCTTTTACAACATTTTTACCCATAGCTTCCCGATTAAGTTTATTATAATAAAATATTAAGTGGTATTATCAAAATTGACCTCCGGTGGCCTTTATGACCTTTCAGTGAAAACACTAATAAGGATATCTCGACCACTTTCTAAAAAAAAAAAATTTTTTTTTTTTTAATCTGATATCTTTGTCCAATAATATTCGGGATTATATAAACCAATCACAATTAATCCCAAAATCTATAAGATCGATCGATTTATCGTTATCTTAACTTCTATATTGCGCAGATCAGTGTCGATTGCTTCGAATATTCGCAATTAATTAATATTACTAATATTACTAACCAGAATGACTAGTATTATCATAATACAATCAGGAACTAAGTCCAGAAAGTTAGTGATACGAAAAATTACATTCTTACATTCACCCACGCATCATTTTGAGAAAATGTCTAAAGTGTGGGGAACTCATAAATTAATATATATATAAGTTATTAAGTTATGTTATTAATTAAGTTAATTAAGTTATATATTTATTTTTACAACTTCAGGGTTAGACACGTCTATATAAGTAAAATTGTTTCCCCGACATTTTTGTTGGTTTAAATTGCCATTTCCTTTTTTTCTTCGGCCTATAAAAATTAGAATACCCAGTAAAAAGATTTAAACCAAATAATGATTTTTTTTTAAAAAAATGTATAAAAATTATCATTTTGGTGTTTATACTAACTTTAGTATGTTTGAAATTACAATTTCGTTAATGTTCACCTCTGAGGGCTTATCATGAAATTAAACACCAATCAAAATATTTATTAGCAATAAATACATGGTTTTATACTGGATTATTTTTGCAACAAAAGTATAGGCGCCTCAAATCAGTGAGACAAAGCCACCTTTTTTTTCTGACTCACGGTATTGGCACTTGGACTATGTCCAATAAAAATTTCATTTGGACATTGACATATATGGATATATAAAATCTTATATGTTCAAATTTGTCTAAATAAGATTTTATACAGTTGACCCTCGTTAATACTGTAATATCAACCAACCTAAATTATCTATATCAGCTTTAAATATGATCCCTTATTAATAACTATCAACATGAATATAAGTGATCCAAACGGATTGATATTAACGAGGGTCGACTGTATGCCCAAATTCTCAATTGTCAGCAATATTGATAAAGGGTTTTCAAACGATACTTTTACATTCTTTACGTATCGAACATACCGGTAATAAAAAATGAATTCTCAAAAATTTTTCCCGATCCAAAAAAAATAGTCTTTTTATTTTTTTTTTAATGTTAGCTTTTAAAACAAATAATCGATACCTTGATACGAATGCAATAAATACAACCTGTACCACCATAATGAATACTGCTATTCCGTTTAAATTTAAAAGGTTTTCGGCAAAAAAGGGCAAAACGGAAGAGCTTTGGGTAGATGCTTTTCCATATTTAACGGATAATGAAGGTTATAACAAAAATTTAAATTGGTAGAAGTTGAAGCTTCGACAGTTGGTCGAACAGAATTTTTTTTTTTAGATTTTTTAGGGAGATTACGAAAAGTAAAAAGAGTATGTTCAAGCATTAATTCTTAAATATCATCATTAACTGCATCATGATTATTATTTAATCAATTGATTGAGATATTTGAAAAAATATAAAATTCAACAGATCAAAATAATTATACCGCTAATATCTATCTTTACTATTATATAGAGTTTAATGAAACTTAGTATTGAAATTTTAATCCGATCCAAGTTTCAATTTGATATACAGTATTATATATAGTTAATATCAGTTATTATCTAAATGCATACTATAGATAAAAAAAACTTAATTTTATGCATTTATACAGTACTAACCAATCAAACATTAGAAATTAACTGTCTAAATACATAACTGTACTGTATTATTATTAAATTTTTTAAAAAATTATACATTTAAATAGTATGTAGTATGCATTTAGACAGAATCAACTGTATAAATAAAATTATGGATTTTTTTTTAGCATAAAAACACTTTAAAAATTAATTTTAATAATTAATTTTTTTTATTTTAATATACAGTATATTAAAAAGCTCATTAAAAAAATCCAATAAATGTAATATTGCTTGCATATATTACTAGTTTTAAAAAACTATATTGCAATATATTTTATACAGTATGTTTTACTATTTACAAAATCTTATTTGTAATCAAAATTATCTCAATGTCCTATGTAAACCTAGTATCTAAAGCTTTAATAACACTTCAGCATTCTCTGTATTTTGTGAATATACAAAGGTAATTCTCAATCATCTTTCTATATAAACACCAATAGAATGTGATTGTACTGCACATCGGCTGTAAATACTTTGTCAAAAATATATAGTTTATAATTATACAATATGTATAATTTACGTTTATGTAAAAAACGTGATGAATGTTTAGTTAATAATAAAAATTAACAGGAGCCTTCAAATTTTATCAAAGAATACAAATTATATTCTCCAAAAAAAGAAAAAAAAACCAATTATAATTCTACAGCCCTGGGCAATGGTTGTCCCCGAACACCAGATAAAACATTTTCAACAGCGAGATTTCCCATCATTGTTCGTGTTTCCAATGTAGCACTACCGAGGTGAGGAACGACAGTTACGTTTGGAAACTTCAATAAAGGATGATCAGGTTGTAATGGCTCTGGTGTTGTCACATCTAATCCTACAGAACCTAATAGACCTTCTGACAAAGCACGTACAAGGTCATCTTGTTGTATGATTGCACCACGTGCAGTATTCACAAGAATCTAAACAAAAACAATATAAAATACTTATAGGAAAATATTAGAAAGGTGCCAGAAATTACATAATTTCCTTGAGATAAATTTCTTAATTGTTTAACTGTTTAATTAATATTAGAGATGCTGGTGAAATTAGGTTCACTAATTCAACATCAGTTTCACCAATAGTGAAGAAACTATTTCAACACACTAATTTTATTTCACTAGCATCTTTAATTAAACTCATGATCAACATAATTCAGCTCAGGACTATATAACAACTTTTATGCGGTTGAACGGTTCCAGTCCTTAAATTGAATATTAATTAAATCCGTAATTTCTGGCACCCAATTAATTTTATACATACCACATTTTTTTTCATAACCTTGAAAACATCATAATTGAACATTTCACTAGTTTGTTTGTTCAAGGAACAGCATATACAAATAACATCGGCCTCTCTAATTAACATGTCAAATTTGACTCTAGTTGCACCGAGCTCTATGGCTACTGGTTTATCGGAATTTCCAGAATAGATTATTTTTCCATTTGAACCTAAGAAAGGTTTAAGTCGGTGCGCAGTAGCAGCTCCAATTCGACCAAGACCAACAATTCCAACGGTTTTATTAGTCAATTGTGTACCTGCCAATTTATTTCAGTTAATATATACTTTTAAATTATTAAATTACAAGTAGATGACAAAATACCTAACATCCATAATGGACCCCATTTTGACCATTTACCATCTTCTACCGTATGAATTGACTTAATTATTATCAGAAAACCTATGTTACATTTATAGCAGTATAGATGAATTAAATAGATCAAAAAACGAATACCTCCCGCATTCTACGTGCCGCCGCAATTACCAATAATGCAGTCATTTCTTTATATTATTTTATATAGAATAAAAAGGTGGTTATTCAATTCTAATCAAAAAAAATATAAAAGATCTATTTCCAGTCAAATCTTTATACCTGCGGTCGCGTCTGTAAGCACATCAGGAGTATATCCCAAAGGTATTTTACGCTTACGAATCTCATTTAAATCAACGTGGTCATATCCCACTGTTTTATGATGTAATGTTAGATATGAACCACCATTAATTTATATCCAATTAATGTTTAAAATTTAACCTGAAAATGTTGATACAACTTTCAAGTTTGGGCCAGCGATATCTAACAGTTCTGAATCAATCTTTTCAGTTAACAGGCAAAGGAATCCACTAACACCTTGAGGAATGATTAAGGAGAATTATAATGATTGATTTCGATAATCGGTTAAAGTTTGTAGAAAGGTAACCTGGTATTAATTTCAACAGCTGGTCTCGAGGTATACTTCTATCCTCCTTCCAATGAAGAAGCTCTATATCCTGAGCATTTTCAATAAGTTTCTGCGATTCCGGAGGTAGCGTTCGCGTTAATAGAATTTTGGGAAGCGCCATTGTTGAAACACGACGAAATATCCTGAGATTCACGGATTGATTCTTGAATAAGTTTAATAACATGTGATTTTTTTACGGATAATCATTGAAGATCTAACACTATATATTCATGGGTAAAAGTTTGATTGGTTAAATTTGTAGATTTTCTTCACCCGGGTCACCCGTGTGAATTGAAATCGGGTGACCCGGATGAATATATGGGATCTTTGCTAGGAAAATCACCCTTCGGGATTGTCCGATTGGGCTAATTCAAAAAAACTTAGATCAGAATGTCGGTTCTTATTCATATGTAAATCATCTTTTTACTTTACTGATTCGACAGTTTATTTAATAAACTATCGAATCAATAAGCAAAAGATGATTAAGAACCGACATTCTGGTCTAAGCTTTTCCGAATTAGCGGGTGATTTTCCTAGCAAAGATCCCATATGATACCCAACCAGCCCGTATGTAAATTTATATACTCTTAGGGTGCATTTATATACTCTTAAAGTACATTTATATTGATTATTATTAAATAATTGATTAAATAATTGATCGGCTATAGTCGACTAATAGCCGCTTTAGCGGATCGGCTAACCGGCTAAGAGTCGATAACCGATCGTAGTCGACCGAACCCATCCCTAGTTACAACCTCGTCATAGGCCATTACCTGCATCATTACAATAAAAAACCTCAATCGTTATGACAAAAGTTGTAACTACCACTACAGAATGGATACTGAATCTCTATGTTTTCCTAATGAATTTTGCAAATCTCCGCATCGAGACGACATTAAACTCGTTTTCTAACATGTAGATATGCGATTCGCCTTATAAATATATCGAAGAATTTATCAATAAAGAGATTATTTTTTAACTATCAACTCTAGGCTAGATTCATATCAATATGGCATAATTATGGCATAATTATCGCTTGTTTCTCATCTAGGTGACTAATGATTTCGATAAAAAAAAAAATTAAAAAATTATAGGTTTCCGTCTCCTCATCTACAAGAATAAAACAAAGAAATGATGCAGCCTTCAAGCGAATTATGTTGATTAAGTGTTTTAAACTAAAAAGGTTTAAACAATGTATCTTGAATAATTGATTTAGATCGGTCAATCAGAAAATGTCTCCACGAGTATAGTAGTAATAGAAGTAGCATATTTTTTCTTCTAAGTTGTCAGTTTCGAGATTATTTCGTACAGTGAATTTTTTGTGTTTGAAGATGAAATACTTTTATCGTCGTTTTTAATTAGTAAACCGTCGTATTCTCGAAAGGTGCTTTAAAATACATAAATAAGTCATCTAAATTTATTACTTTTCAATAGATTATCTTGGAGAACGCAAAAGCATGATCGAATTAATTTAACTTGGTTTTCTTTTCTTCCATAAGTCCCGATTTGCATTTTCGTACTACTTTATACTTGTAACACGTATTTATGTATATATACAATGTTATACATATAAAATTTTTACTTTATTATTACAATAAAATAAGCAAAAAAGATATTATTTGGCATATCTTTAATCCAAAAGTTACCATGGATGAAAAACTCGATTTTGAATTTTTGCTTAAATACGCAGAAGATGGTAATTTTGATGCACAATACGCTATTGGAATCGGTT